TATCTCTCAAATGAGCAGTGACGTGGAACATTTTTCCATATACTTATTTGCTGCGTTCACTTCTTTGTCTGAGAAATGTCTGTTTATTTTGGATGCCCATTTTTGCATTTGGGGGGCTGATTTTTTTGAGTTCTTTATATATTCTAGATAGTAGTCCTTTGTCTGAGGAGTAGCTGGTAAAGATTTTTTCGCACATTGTAGCTTGTCTCTTAGCTCTGGTGGTGATTTCTCTTGCACTGCAAAAACTTTTTAATACAATGAGATCCCAGTTGTTTATTCTTTGTGCAAGTTCTCATGCTGCTGAGGATTTGTTCATAAAGTTTTCTCCTATGCCAATGTCTTTGAGAGTTCTACTTAATTTGTTTTCCAGTAAGTTCAGTGTTTCTGTTTTGATATTTAGATCTTTAATCCACTTGGATTTTATTTTAGTGCATGGTGAAAGATAGGGATCTAGTGTTAATCTTTGGGAAGTTGAAATTCAGTTGTTCCAACACCATTTATTAAAGAGGCTATCTCTCCTCCAGTGAGGATGGTTAGCTCCTTTGTCCAGGATGAAGTAGTCTATTTCTTTTGATGGGTGAATTGAGGCCATTAATATTGACGGGCATAACTGATATGTATTGACATCATTGTCATGTTATTGTCCTGTTGTTGGCTCTTTTACAATTTCCCCCCTCTCCCTTTAGTTTCTTGCCTTGCCTAACTGATTTGCTCTTTTAGGACTCATGGTGTTGTGACCTTCATTGTCTTTTTCTAGGATATTGCTTAGAATGTTTAATCCCCTGGAAATCTGTTTGCATCTATTTTATGCATTCCATTTGTTTACTATTTTTGGATTCCATCATGTTCCTCAGCTCGACTATTTTTAAAAATTTGTGTGTGCTTTAAATTTATTAATCATGTCTTGCACTATGGACACAATCCCTCTTGTTATCTTAGAAATTATTTCAGATTTCACTTTTTACAGGTCTTCTTTCGTTGCAGTTCAGGGAGTCCAGGTCATTGAGTATTAGATTGTTCCATCTTGTTGCCCTTTGAGTTAGCCTTAGGCGATTTGGAAGTCTGGATTTGAGACTTGCTTACGTGTCTTCTCATTTCATTAGATGCAGCCTGCTGTGCCTTTGCTGAAGTGACTTTTTGCTCCCACAGTGGTCTTCAATTCTCAGTGAGTCACAGAGCAGCCTTTTCTCTGCTGCTCACCAGGATGTTATTGGGGCTGGCCTCTGGATTTTGCTTGTGCCCTTGAGCAGCTCTTTCCCAGGTAGGACTTTGTTGGGGCCTGTAGGTTGTGGTTTCTGGGGTCAGGTTGGAGCCCTGACTAGGTCCTGCCTGAAACCTGCTACTCTGGTCACCATGGGCTTCTCCCTGGGATCAGTACACACTTTCAGATGGTATCAGGGCAGGCCTCTGGTTGCTGCTTGTGTGAATGAGCAGGTCTTTTTACCATCCATTCATCTATTGATGGACATGTATTCTGCTTTCCAGATTTATCTGAGTTGTGCTGCTATAAATGAGTACTCTTATATCAGTATAGTATGATGTTTTTATCTCTTATAGTATGATGTTTTTACTTAGGAGGGGAATAGCTAGGTCAAATGGAATTTCTATTGTTAGTTTGATAAAGAATTTCCACAGTGGTTGTACAAGTTTATATTTCCTTGTTTTTCTAGAACTTTAGGGTGCATGCTTACATTACTTGTTTGGCCTCATTCTGTCTTTCTGATGTGGGCATTCACAGTTTAAACTTTTATCTTAGGACTGACTACCTTTGATGCATCCCATAGGCTGTGGTATGTTTTATTGGCATTAAAATTGATTTAGGAACTTTCATTAACCCATTGAGTATTGAGTGTGTTGTTTAATCTCCAGTTGTTTGTCAAATTTCTGTGGTTTCTTTTGTCATTAATGTTTACTTTTAGTGTGCTGTGATCTGGTAGTATATCTGGGATTCTGGGATACTCTTTTTTTTTAAACTGGGTATTGAACTTGGGACCTTGTGCTTGTGGGGCAGGCGGCAGCACCACTGAGCTAAATCTCCAGCCCATCCTGGGTTACTTTTTTATCTTTTATATTTATTTAGCAAGCTTTATATGTTAGTATGTGGTCTAGTTTGAAGAATGTTCCATGTGATGAACAATATCTATTCTATTGTAGTGGGACAGAACTCTCTGAATATATCTATGAAATCTGTTTTTTGAAGGTGTGGTTCAGCTCTGATATTTCTCCATCACTTTTTGGCCTAGTTGGTCTATTTGTGAAAGTGTGGTATTGAGATTCCCCATTATTATTGTGTCATCTTCATTTCATCTTTTATGTTCAGTAGTGGTTGCTTTATGAAGGTGGGTGTATTAGAATTTCACATATGTGTTTATATTGATTATCTGTTCCTTTTGAATTTTTACCTGGACTAATATTCAATGACTGTCTTTGCCTCTTCTGATTAGTTTTGCCTTGAAGTCCCCTTTGTTGGGGAATAAGATTGCTACCCATGCTTGCTTTCATGGTCCTGATTCATGGAGTATTGTTTTCCATCATTTGTTTTATAGTGTATGATTGTTTTGGATTAAATGTGTCTTGTATGCACATTTTTGAGTTTTGCTTTTTGACCCAGTTTGCCAGTCTGTGTCTTTCGATAGGGGGTTGAGGCCACTTAAGTTATTACTCAAAGATATCGACTCATTTGTGATTATTGCATTATTTTACTGTTTTTGATTACTTTACTGTTTCATTTTGGTTGAACTCCTCATCCTGCCTGGTATGCTAATTACATGAAACTATCTGGCATTATTGGTTATATTTCCTCTGTCCTGTATACCTTTGAGAAGTTTTGGGTGCTGGCTTTGCAGGTATAATTTTTAAGGGCTTCTGTGTTATGGAATGTCCTCATTTCTGCAATTTTTTGGGGGGGTACCGGAGGTCTACCTTAGGACCTTGTGCTTGCCATGCCGGCGTGGCACCACTGATCTACATACCTGATCCCTGTTTTGTCTTTTGAGATAAAGTGTCACTCTGAGTTAAGCTGGCCTTGAACTCACTATGTTGACCTCCACCAGTGACCACCACTTGCTTGCTCATTACTGCAGGGCAACTCCTGTGGTCATCTCCACACTTTCCCTCAGGAGCTTTCTGCCCGTGTAGAAGCAGAAGCCCTTAGCTCAGGCAATGCTTTCTGTTCCTTCACCCTCAGGCCTTACCCACCCTTGGCCCTTGTCCCAAGAGCTCTGCTTTCCAACCTGTGGACCTCAGCACAGTCCCCAGGCTCAGCAGAGGGCCTCCTTTCCCATGTGGGGCCTTGGGTGGTGGGAAGGATTTCACACTGTCTCAGATCTTTCTGGTATCTGGGGAAGCAACGGGAAAAGGCCCACTCTGTGCAGCTCCAGCAAATCTCTCTCCTCTACAATGTGTCCAGGAATGAGATCTCTCAGCCAGTGAGCTTTGGGAAGCCCACAGTTCTCTACATTCAGCCTCTCAGTACCAAGGGTGTGGGGCTTCTCTTTTTGTCCTTAAGGGGTAGGTGGTGGGGAGGATGCTGCAAGGACACAGTATTCCTTGTGTGGGAGAGGATGGTGGGAGAAACTGCTTATTTTTATGTTGCTGGCTCTCCCTTTCTATGGTTGCAGTCCACAGTTTCCCTGGACCCTAAATGCAGTTCACCCTCTTCCTGAGTTTCCCCTTCCTTCCAGGAGGAAGGAGGGAATATCGGGAGCCTCTCCCAGGAGTCTGTCCTCTGTGGTGCTGCCTCCTTCCCTCAGACTGTTCCCAAAATTGCACTGTAGCTCAGTGTTAATCAACTAATACTTTCCCTCATTTATTAGTCAAATATGGTTGGCTTTGCACTGGATTTCTTTTCCAACTGTAGCCTGCTACATGTAAGGAGTTACTTTCAGATAAAACTCCATACTATTTTTATAGTTTACAGTAAGTGTGGGCTTCTTGAGATTTAGCACTACCAGTACAACCCATTGATTCTTTCTGGAGCTGACAATCTCCCATGCTTAACTGGGATTTTTGGAGCCAGGACCTCTCTGTGGACCCAGGGTTATTGTTTCAGACTATTTCATTACTTTCTTTGCACTACACTGAGATTTTTCAGTTTTCCTGTATTTTTACATTCCTTGTCAAGTCTCTCCTGATTTCTGGAGGTCTACTATTAATTCTTCAGGAAAAAGGAAACAAACAATTAAATATCCCATGCAGTTCATATACCAGATGTCTGGGTTCCAGGTCCCTGGAAACCAATGGGCCGTATTTTGCTGCTGTTTTGCATTCTGCCATTTTAAATCTCCGAGTGCATTTGTTTTGGGGTCCTTCATTCTGGTCTACATGTCTGTTTTTGGGTGCTGCTTTTGTTACTATAACTTAGTGCTACAATTTGATTTTGGGCATTGAGATGCCTCAAGACTATCTTTTGCTTAGAATTGATTAGGCTATTCTGTCTTTTCTGTTTTCATATGAATTTTAGGATTTGTTCCTAGCTCTGTGGAGAATGTCATTGGAATTGTGATGGGGATTGCACTGAATCTGAAGATTGCTTTTGGTATTACAGCCAATGTAATATTAGTTCTGCCAAACCATGAATGTGAAGTCTTTCAATCTTGTTGTATCTCCTTCATTTCAGTATTCTGAAATTTTCATTATAGAAGTCTTTAACATCCTTGGTTAGAGTGATTTTTGGATTTTTAATTTTTTTCAAGCTATTTTGAATGGAATTATTTTTCTGATTTCTTCTTTTTTTTTTGTACCAGGGATCGAACTCGGTACCTTTTGCTTGCAAGGCAGGTGGCTGAACCACTGAGCTAAATCCTCATCCCTGATTTCTTTTTTAGTTAGTTATTTATTGGTATATAGAAAAGCTATTAATTTTTTTGCTAGTACATGTTTTCAGTACATAATGCTCATATTTATCATGGGAAATTTGTAGATATACATAACATATATTACTTCTTCATGTCCCCCCCCAAAAAAAACATTCTTCCCTTCTCCATTTTCTAAAGCTCTATTTAATTTTGTATCTTGCATCTGGATTTTAAAGACTTCACCCTGCTGTGGGATTGAAGGATCCTCTTCCATGCTGCCTTCACATCCTTGTTTCTCAGGGTGTAGATGAGTGGATTGAGCACTGGGGTGATCACACAGTAGAAGAAGGACAGAAACTTGCCCTGTGTGCTGTGTGCAGAGGCCTGGAGGTACATGTACATGGCAGGGCCAAAGTACATGGTGACCACCAACAAATGGGAACTGCAGGTGCTAAGTGCCTTGAGTCTTCCTTCAGCTGAAGGTAACTTCAATACAGCTCTAGCAATAAGAACGTAGGAGATGACCACCATGAGAGGAGCCACTAGTGCAAAAAACATGGCTCCTGAAGCCAGGGCCAGGTCATTAGCAGAGGTGTTCCCACAGGCCAGCTTGATAAGCACAGGTATCTCACAGAAGAAGTGGTCCAGGATATGGTGCCCACAGAGGGAGAGTTGGAGGGTGAGTGTGGTTTGGAGCAGAGCATTGGCCAGGCCACTGGACCAGCATGCAGCTGCCATCTGCACACACACCAAGGGACACATGATGAGAGTGTACCGGAGTGGCCGGCAGATGGCTACATAGTGATCAATGGCCATCACGGCCAGTAGAGTACATTCAGTGCAAGCTGCCCAGGTGAAAAGATAGACCTGTGCGGTGCATTTCCAGGCAGCAATTGTCTTGTGTACTCCCCAGAGGTTGGCCAGCAGCTGGGGCACTATGGTGCAGGTCACACCAAGGTCCAGCAGAGAGAGGTTGTCCAGGAAGAAGTACATGGGTGTCTGGAGTCTTGGGTCCACCAGGGAGAGGAGGATGATGGAGCTGTTCCCCACCAGGGTGAGGATATAGGAGACCAGGACCACTGCAAAGAGGGGCCTCTCCAGCCACGGAAACTCTGAGAAGCCCAGCAGGACAAAAGCATTGGGAAAGCTCATGTTTTCTTTTTCCATATCAGCTGCCTTACATGTGCCTAGAAGTTAAGGGGCATAATTAGAGTATAAACATGACTTTTCCACTCCAGTAACTTCATGTTTGCACCCACAAATCTTCCATAGTTTTGGATAATTTTTTCTTTTAACAATTATGAGAGAGAGCTCCAGTGGCGCAATCGGTTAGCGCGCGGTACTTATATAACAATAATGAGAAATTCTTGACTGTGTGTCTGCAGCTTCCCTATCCTTTGATTGGGAAGTTAGGATAAATGTGGATAAAGATATGATGAGAAATTTTACATTGTACTGAGTTCACTGAACTAGCATCCTTTTTGTAGAGGATGTCTTCCTATCATTTTCTGATTCTCTCTTCTTTATCACCTGCTTTGTTCATTCTTTCTGTCTTCATATCTATTTATTGTCACGATCTGTGGTCATGTAGAAAGCATGACATGGTCCCTTCCTTTTAGAGCACTGCTTTCAGGAATGTTGTGTAAGACGACTCTGCCTTGTGTTTCCTCTCAGTCCAGAAGGATGGGGGGCCTGAGGCTCAGTAGGACTCCATGGAATTTGAGAGAGGCAAAGTGGCTCACTGTGGCTGTGAATTTCTGTGGTCAGCGGAGGCTCTCAAAAGGAGTTATTCTGGGGAATTACTTATCATCACTCACACTTTATTCATTTAAAATGCACATGACAGCCTTTTCTGTTTAAAGCACTTTCAATCACACTGTGGTGCAGGCTGCCTTCATTTTATGAGTGAAAGCAGGGCAGAATACTCCCACACTCTTTCTCCAGCTCTGGCACTCACTATTCCCTGCCATTCTCGACAGTTTAGGCTCATGTAGATATCTCAGAAAAACAAAATCCTGTACTATTTGATACATTGTCACTAGATTATTAAACATATATAAGCAGGTTATGAAACTTTGGGTACTGATTTGGTGAAGATAATTTTTCTAGGGACTGTGAGTAGGTGTGGGATCAGATGATTCATAGTGTATTATATTTATTGTGTACTTTATTTTGAATATTATTATGTATATGAGATTTATGTAATAATTTAATGAAACAAATATAGAATGAAGAATGAGTGGGCCAGGGATTTAGCTCAGCAGTTCGGTGGCCTGCCTTGCAAGGGCAAGGACCCGAGTTCAATCCCCGGTACAAAAAAA